TATAGTACGGACTACATCTTACTAGATATGCTGGCTCATGAGCACCTTGCTTCCCCTTTATGATCACTGATGATTTCTACAACAGTTAGTTGTATGGAAAACAATCGGTTGAAGGGGTTTGGCGTGGTGGTGGTAGAAATGTCCGCATCAGGTGACCAGGCAGCTCTGTGTAAGCCGGTTTGAAAATGTTCTTTCTGCATGTGGAGGAAAAGAGAGGCTGTTTCCAAAAAGCAAACCAAGGAAGTTTGGGAAGTTCTGTACACATACAGTGCATGCCATTAAGAATGTTAAAGGCCAGTGGAGCAGATCAACCCCATTAGCATGAGTGGAAGTTAGGTAATTATTCCTGCAGGTTTGAAAATTTTCAGACATTGTAATATACATTATATTTACAATTCTTTATGTACATATAGACAAATATTTTATATCCATAATGTACTTAACATAGCCTGGTCCATAATCTGAGGAACAATATACAACCATAGCACTCCTGGATGAGCAGCTCACAAGTATCTTCTACCATTATATACTGTAAATGCATGGAACCGTCTTATGCAACCCTTTTGGGTTTTTTGTTAGAGCTCCTTAGTATAATATGAATAGTTTTTCCTTTTTGGCCTTATTCTAGGCTTTAGTGATTTTTTTCCTGTTCAGTGCTTATTCATTTGTCTCTCCAGGAGATTTAAAGATCACTGTCCTACTAAGTGTTAGCCCAATCTAACACATCTTTCCTTCACTCTCAAGAAATGATAATAGTAACATTATAAAAAAATTAATAAAAAATGTAAAAAATATTATCTTTGCCATTTATTCAGGAAGATCAATTACAGTTGCTGAACAAGGGTATTCTGGAGGAAAACTGCATAACAGAATACAGTGCTCTTCAACCATGTGCAAATGCCATAAGTGAAGTATATCTGTTTTAATACTTTTGCTACAAGATGCAATGGAAGACAGACTTTTTATTACGACTCTAACTTTTGTGCTCTAATAGATGTGTTGGACTGGCTTATAAGAGAGTCCTCCTTTCCACTTTCTGTTGAACATATTCCAAGACAGACTGAGCCCATGATGGGGTAGTTACACTACATGTGTTCCTAAGGGAAAGTTTCTCAGCTGCCAGAACGTGTCCCATAGAGCCATTCCACCAGCTGAGTTAAAACAGCTAAATACATGCTTCCATTTGCAGTGGTGCGAGCTGAAATTTAGCATCTGATCTTCAAGTTAAATATTTCCTATGCTGCTTTATCTTGGTGGCTGAGATGGTCCCATGGGTTCATTCTAACATGGAAATTGCTGTTGTTAATACAGTCTTACTAGGCACCTCCACCATCCAAGCCATTCTGCATAGTGAATCTCTACTGCATCTGAATAAAATTAGCACCTGTATGCTACTTATGACCCACCTTTGGATCCTGTGTGAATCTGCACTGAAAAAGAAATTAATGGGGCCCAGTATTAGGCTCATCATATAAAAAATGGAAAACTGAAAGTCAGTCTTAAATTACAGGAAAATCAAAGTACTACAGTCTATGAGTTCTATGTCAGAATAATCCAGCTAATACCTACTACAATTTTGGACACAGAATGCATTGTCCAGAGCAACCAATTTATTTGAATTGACTGAGTGCACTATTTGCAATTAAAGACTGCCTTATGCGAAAAAGTCTTGGCTAATGTCTTAAAGCATAGCACATGTCTAAGTTTTTACTGGACAGACACTGAATTTATATTCATGGGAAACAAAAAGGGTAACTTTTGTTTAAGAAAAATTTAAATTACATAGCTCAGTTCTTTTCCTTTCACCTCATGGAGTCTTATTGCTTCTCAGTAATTCCAATATGCAAACACCTCATGAGCAAAGTTACTAAACCTTCTGCTGTTACTTGTTCAATTTTAACACCAACATCATGCATAAGATCCTCTCTTTTTCACAGGTTCAGCATAACGACTGATTACAATCAATGCACAAGATTCAACTGACCAAGCACAGATGCCTGGATACGAGCTTGTGATTTTGATCTATTTGAATGCAGAGACGCAAGTGCTTCTTTGGTACAATTCATCTGAGAAGTAATTAGATTTATCAGATGAGTTACATCCTACAAGGTACCATTTCTCTTCATTGATTAAAAAGGACTCTTAGATGATTAGTTCAAATGCAGACCTCCATAATCACGTCTGCATTTGGTGAGAAGAATTCCTCCCAGCTGGTCTCACTGACACACAAATGCCTGACTGACAAGAGGGAATAGACTGAGTAAAGATGACTGATATGGTTTCCATGTCAGATGACCACTCCACTTGATTGCATGGACATCCAAGTTGCTTGTTAGTCAACTTTGGAAGCACAGTGTTTGGCACATGATGGAAAGCTGGGGCAGTGCACTTGTCGGCCAAGAAACACTAAATTGGTCCTGCTTAGTAGTCAAAGCCCTCACTTAATCTATGGTTTGGAGGCTCAAGTGGTACATGAGTAGCAGTATGGATGGATTTAATTCTAGATTAATAACAGTCAGATCTGTGAGAAAAATGTACATGTTGATATTGCTTGTAAATAAGAGCTATTTCCTTTTGTCCACATTATAATGCTTTTTTTTTTCCTTGCTTGCTTATAATGCACACTGTATTTTGTGAACTTTCAGTTTAGTCATAAAGCACTCTGCAATGTGGGCCGGATTCTCAAACCAGCCTACTAGATTTGCTTAAATTTGTTATATTTAAACTCTTAACTGCACCCTGTAAAATGAAGGATAACTAAATAGAGCTGATTTTCACTTGAAAAAAAGTAACAGAGAAAGCTACACTAGTTTCTCATATACATTTGTGTCCTGCACAGAATTATGTTCATGTTTGTAAAGTAACACCTTTTGTTTATTGGTTTTAAATGAAAAAAAAAAAAAAGGAAAAAAATCCCAAACAATCCAAGAGTAGGCTTGGAATCAGAGCAAGAACAAATAAAAAGCTTCCAAAGTGGGGAAAATACAAATTTGATCAAGCTCTTATAAAAGTGTCGTACCACACCGCAACAACAAAAACCCAAGCTGTATAAACCCCCAAAATCCTGGATTTACAATGTTTTGAATAAATATCCTTATCCAAAGAGTCCTTTGTTCTTTCCTGTCTGGTTACCCCAACTCTCATTTATAGAAAAATAGGTCTGATTAATATATGTTTTCATTCTTTTTCTATTGAAAATATATTTTTAGTAGTGTGAGAAATTTGGAAATTAATTTCCAGGTTGCGTGCAGATAACATGCCACTGCATCCTCATGCAAAGGAGAGTCTAAAAGTGCACATACATGGTTTGGATTACTTCTGAGTGATTTTGAAACCCCATTAACAAATAACAGGCTCATACCTCCTTGATAATGTATTTAACTGTGAGAGAGGCTCCTTCCACAGATGCCGCATTTTTGGCCATGGAAGCAATGACAGGTAAAATGGGTAACAAAATTGGAAAGGAAAATCAGCTTTTAAATTACTCTGTGAAGACTGTATTTGTCAGAAGGTTTCAGGTGAGATTTTCTTTCCATGAGAGAACCTTTCCCAAAAAACTATTCAGATGTGGAACTGGGGCAGAAATTTTTTCAGTGACAGTCACAGGAAAGAACAAATGTTTTTTCTCCCCACAAAGGCCTGTGATTCTGCAAAACACACATGCTTAGACAGTCCTATTGAGCTCAGCAAGACTATTCACACTGGCAAAATTACCTTTGTAGCTCAAATAGCACAGGAACTGCCCTCCTTTAAACAAGCTCTTCATATCAGCACTGTAGATCCTAGTGAATCCTTATCTTTGGAAAACTTGCTCCTCAATTAAATCTGGGTTTGTTGTATTTTTGTTTTTTTAACAAAAGAAAGAAAAATTTGCTTCTTGCACTACTGCTATCCCTTTAAAATTAATGCAGCCATTCTAACATAAAGTGACAAAAGTGACTCGGGCCTAGCATGTCGTACTCTGTGACATGTTAGGTTGGAAGCATAATCTTTTCTGAGCTGCTTTCTGATTTTCCTTCTTCGCCACTAATACACAATGGCAGCCTTTCCCAAGAGTTAGGAAATACATTTTGATTTACAAGCTGTAAATTAAGCAGTAAATATCACTATGATTACATAAAGTACATAGTTCATTTTGATATATACATATATTATACTAATTACCCAAATGCACATTTTAACGGAAGAGCTGTAATACTTGAGTATATTTGGAATGCCACATAACTCGAAAACATCCTTCAGACTATGTATAAATCAACAAAAGCATCTGCACCCAGTTTACATGGGACATGCATCCACGTCTGTGCATGACTTCTACTGTGCGCTTGTTCCCCTGTTCCCAGTAGTGCATATCCCATGCAGAAACTTGGAAACGTAGCCCAGCACGTCTGTGTAAGTTGTCTGAATAAAACATAAAAGCTGTAAGTCTTAGAGAGGTACAAATACTATGTTAGGCCTTTATGGACATTTTCTTGCATGTAAATATGGCTATTGAAGGGTTCTAAAGGTAATTGCTTGATGTCATTTAGATATCTGTCCTAAATGAAGGTCTACCCTATAGTAACCAGAGCTCCATTTCAGCAGTCTGGTTTTCACTTCTAAAGCAGTCAGTAGGCTCAAGGCAACATATTATTACACTGCTGTCCTACATCTGCTTTTCTGCCTACGTACAAGGTAGCTGCACACTGCTGCATGTAACTTCCAGCACTAGTTGGTGGTTGTACCATTGCCCTCGACTGGAGGATGATATGGCTGGTCTGCTCCCATGGGAATAAGCGCATCACCCCACTGATGGCTGGCCTTCTAAGGTCTACTACCAGTGATGGAAGTTATGCTTAGTTCAAGCAGCAGAGGCCTGCACTTCTAGAACAGAAAGCTTTCTGAAGTCTATGTGGCCACAATACAGCTGACAAACAGGTTTCACATGTGGTTATAGAAACATTACAATCAGTTTTCCAGTGAATACTTGCCACATAGTAGAAGCAAATGCTGAGTATTTAAGAAAAGAAAAACAACAAAGGAAAAAAAAGAAGTTGTTCTAGGATGGTGAAGAATCCCAAGAATGAACAAGTTTCCCAACCTAATCTAAAATTTAAAGCATAAAAAGTGTCAAGTGCTAAAGTAATTAAAAATCAAGGACCTGAAGATTTCAAACAGATTTCTCTCACTATCCTCCCAGTTGTTCACACAATGAAAATTCACTACATAAAATCAGTCATTCCTGCAAACAATATTAACACTTTGAGGCACCAGCTTATCAGCATTCAAAGTATTATTATAAAGTAATACAATGATAGGACCCATACATTTGGATTTAGTTAAGAAATAAAATAAATAGTTATGTCAAACTTTTTTGATTGCACATTTGGCATTGGAAGTTACATGGTCACAGAACATGAAAGAAGTCAAATACTTTTTGATCTACCAGCAAACTCTAAATACATCGATAAAGAAGCCACACCAGGCCAAATAGATTATTACTTTCAAGGAAGTTCATGAAAGTTTCCCAAATACTGTTATACAAAGTTACACATCCATGCTGAGTTATTCATCAATGTGTAGCAAGAGTCTTGCAGTAGGCCAGGATTTTATTGGCAGATAACTGGTGGAGGAGCTATGCAGTGTGATTAAAAATTCCAGTTTGGAAGCATTAACACAGAAGTACTTTTATAGTCTGAACTGGAGACTGCAGTTCTTGAAGTTAGGAAGAGCAGAAGGGGAGATTGGGAATATTTTCCATTTTAGAAATGCTGAGGCACAAAACACAGTTGATTTTAGTACTTTCATACATGAAATCCTTTCTCCTGTATGTGCATCATGTGTAACCGCAAAGTCTGTAAACTGCTGACTATTCGTCTCTGGTGTCCAATGAGTACAACTCCAATTCTTCTAACGTCACTGCAAGATAAAAAGTTTCAGCTTGGATGCAAGTCAAGTCAGGTCTCTTGTACACAAAAGAGTACAAATTTAAGGTGAGTTGCTCTTCTTCAGGACAATTTACCTTCCTGTCTGGGACACATAAGAAAGCTGCAAATGCTCAATTCCAACTTCTTAAAGACAGACATTTAAGGAAATAAAAAGAAATTTTGCAGTTAGAGCACTGGGATCTTTTGTTATATTAATGGTCAAGTAATTTTTCCAAATCTTGAGGAAGAACCTGAGAGGTGGGATCTAATAGCCCATTTTTAGTAATGTGTTATTAGCAAATGTTTCCCACTCATACTTGCAAAGCAATGGGGCTGCTACACTCACTCCTGCAGTTTTGAAGCAGCAATAACAGAGGCTGTGCTTCTGATGATTTGGGAATCAGAAACCCCAACCCCTAACTGCAGTGGTGACAGATGTTCTAAAAGATTGGAGTAACATTAAATCTTCCAGCTTGACCCAGATTTGTCCTACTTTCCCTTCATCTCATCTAGACCTGCACCCTGGAGTGGGTAGCTCACCCACTGAGCTCAACTCTTTGGCAGGAATGAAGTCAACAGCCCTCAGCATCCAGCACAATCCACTAGTTCAGTTGTTCTCCAAACATCACCAACTGCAAGATGCTGAGAAAGATCACAAAGGTGGCAAGGGCAGGAATCCTCAGATACGCCTTGCCAATTGTGCAGATCGCACACTGGGACATAGCATAGACATTGCCTGTATAGATACCCTCAAAATTGTTTGACAATATAGCTAGTAAAGGAGCTTACAGGATGAGGCATGACCTTTATGGGTTCCAGATTTTCAGTACAAGATACCTGCCTCTGTATCCTCCAGATAAAGAGCCACTGGATAGTAGCAACTATTATGTACTTAGGCTTAACATCCACATGGTGGATGATACACAACACTTAGGGTCAGCAGGGAATATGCAAAAATATTGGGCATCTTAGAATCAAAAGAGAGTCAGAGAATAAAAACTTTACAGAGGGAGTGGTATTAGAAATTCAATTACAGGAAGGTCTGATAAAGTTCATAAAGAAGCCAGCAGGCCTAGGGTAATGGAGGTTATTTGGAGAAAGAAGGAATCTTTCAAAAAGCTGAAGTGGTATCTAAAGCAAGAAGAAAGGATGATAACCTTAGAGAGATTATCTGTAAAAGCACAGTAAGGCAAGCTAAAAAAGAGCTAGAGGAAGAAGGAAAAAACACCTAATAATAAAACTCATAATAAACCTTTTGGCAAACTCACTGGGTACAAGCAACCTGCCAGAGTGTCTGTAGAGTCTAATGATGGGTACAAAAGAGCACTGAAAGACTGTCCACTGTCAGAAGACTAAACTGATTATTTGAGCTGATACTCACTGTGAAAGAAATCAAAGTGACTCCGGTGCCAGAACCGTTATGGGGACTCGCCAGAGGATCTGGCTGAAATTGAAGTGATTGCAGGAGGGGTTATAGGACAAATTATAAAACCAAGCAACAGCCCACCTCCAGAACAATATTGTGTTTAGCCAAGAGTTTTACAAATGCTTAAAGATGAAATAGTGGAATTATGAACAGGGATGTGAGAGGGGGTTATCAGCTGTGTTCCACGTGCTTAAGAAGTTCTTTGCGCCTGAGGCATGGAGAGTGGTGCCAGACAAAAGAAAAGGTTTCCAGGGGAGATCTGGGGAACCACAGGTCTGTGAGTCTAGAATCATTACAGGGCGTAATAGAAACTAGAGTAAAGTACAGAATTATTGGATGCTTGGGTAAATTATCTACTGGAGTCACCACGGCTTTTGCAAAGAGAAGTCCTGTTTTAGAAAGTTACTTGTTTTCAGTGGAGGAGTCAGAATACATATGCATGAAGGCAATTTAATTTGATACACCCCACTTGGATTTCCAGAAGCTTTAGAGAAGAGTCCTCATCAAAGCTTTATAAGGAAAATAAGGAGCTATGGCATAAGAAGGTCTTTGCATGGCTAACTGGTTTAAAGTCAGGAGGTTAGGGGTGAATTGCCAAGTTTTACAAGGTAGTCATCAACAGAAACCTACAGGGATCTATTTATACTGGGATAATATTGAACAGTTATGTTCAAGAAATCAGCAAATGGTCTGGAGAAAGCGGCAAGCACAGCGGTGAAAAAGTCAGTTGGTGAGACTGAATTGTTCAGAGTAGTAAGGGAAGGGACCATCTGTGATGAGTTTTAGACGGATCTCACAAGACTAAGTGACAATGCCATAAAGCAGCAAATGAAATCTAATGTAGGTGAATGTGAAGAGATGCACATGGGAGAAAACCGGTCCTAACCTCACGTGTAAAATTAGTGAATCATAACTGACCATTACCAGTATTAATACAGACAGTCCTAGCATCAAATAGAAGATTAGGAATTCATGGGAAAGGAATAGAGGGCAAAACATATCATATCATTATGATACCAGATTAATCCACAGGTTGCCCAAACCCCTTATATACTGAGTGCGGGATTTTCATTTAAAAAATTATACAGTAATGTCAGAGATGGTGTCAGAGATGGTTGCAGAAGGGCAGCAAGGAGAGGAACAACTGCCTCATGAGGACTGACATAGGCGTGATCATGTTAACAGCAAAGTAAGAAAAGGTTTTTGCCATGGATTTCAGTGGTCAAAACTGATTCTCCAAGAAACATTTCAGGATGCTCACTGCCTGGCCTTTGATAGTGTTTGGTTTGGTCACAGAATAAAGCTGCGTTCTGCGTATCTTAATCATATCTTTCTCCAGTGATGTTTTGGTAAAAACCCGTATTTGTTCAGTATTAGCTTCAAGTAGGAAAGGAAATGAAAGCACTGTTCCATACATCACTGTAATTATGTCACTGCAGCATCCAAACAAATGCAGATCGATTAATCACTGTAGGGACAACAGATTACATACTTACTCAATACTCATTCTTGAGACCGTATCCAAAGTTGTGAAACCCGCTGCCATGAAGTTATTTTTATACTGACCCATTTTTATGGAGTCCAGCCAGTCACTGACTGAAACAAACAAAGGATATTCTGGAACTTCACCAGGTGAATCTGGCATTCTGTAAAAACAAAACGCAAAGGTTACCAAAGCACTACAAAATACGACAACTTACTCTGGTAGGCATTATTGTTATTAAAGGGCAGAAGGAATGAGGGAAGAGCCTGAGCTGTAAAGGTCAGGTGTTAACTGAGGATCTCTTTAACCCATTGCCTGTAACTTAAGAGTCATGTCAGTCTGCCAAGTTGCACTACTGAAACAATACATATTTTTAAACCATTGCAACTCAGTTAACAAACTGAGGAACAAAGCTCTCCCACTGCTTTTATTTTTGTTTCCACAGAGTGTTTCTTTACAGATCTTATACATTCAGGATTATAATAGTTTGTAAACACAGTAGTGAAAGTGAAGGACAAACAGAATTTAACATTACATTTAAAAACATTAAAACACCACAAGATGATTTTCACATATATCTACTCAAAACCTCACCTCAAACGGCTTCTTACTGCTACACCATAGTGCAATGGGAACACTTTGATTAAAAGCCTAAAACTAACATTAGAAGAAGCAAAAAGAATGAAATTTTGTATCTTTGCTTTTACATAGAATTATATAGAGCAGCAAATAAAAATGAAGGGGCTAATTTAGTCCCATTTCTGTTTCAGGTCTTTTCCTTAATATTAGTGCGACTAAAACAGAAAGATGGAGAAACCCACTAAAGTTCTCAGAAAAATCTATGCAGATCTTCATCAAAGCACCTTCATCTAAAGGTGAATTTCAGCTAAAGAAGAGAGTGATGGCACCTGGACCTTCACCCATTTCCTCCAAGGCAGTTCAGAAATTGCTTGCGCACTGTCAGATGGAGAGACAGGCTGTTTGAATAGAGGGGTGAAATACTACAAAGAGAAAACAAGCACATAGGAGAAGCACCAAGAAAAACCTGAACAAACAAAGAGATTCACAAAGATTAAGGACAGAGCACACAGAGCTCAGACAAAAATAAGAAAAATAACTAATATAATCTGCACAACTTGAGAAAAAGAGTCCTTATACTCAGTGTATCAATAAAACAAGCCTTAAAAGTGGCTTAAAGTTATTTGAAACCCCATAATTGTGTGAATTCAGAACTTTGCAGCTCTCTCTACCTAATGCCCTAAACCATCTAAGGATAGCCACTATGTGTTATCCAAACAATAAAGTACCAAAAAGGGTCTTACACAAGTACATCCTCCACTAGCGTATGAAGGGTGCTGGGATTGCGGATCAGTTTGTCTAGGAAGTTGACAATGTCACTAAATTTTGGACGGTGGTTCCTCTCCTTTTGCCAGCAGTGAAGCATTAGTTGGTGAAGAGAAGCTGGGCAGCCCATGGGAGCTGGAAGCCTGTAGCCTTCTTCGATAGACAGTATAACCTAAAGCAATACAATGCATACAATTACTGGGCATGAGAATTAAATGCTGAAAGGACAGTGTAAAGTTGACAATTAGAAACCGGGGATAAGAACTAATGGCGCAGTTACCCTCACTTTATGGGCTTCACTGAGGGAAATGTATGGCAGTGTCACGATATAATCAAGCACTACAAATGCATGTTACAGCACCTGGCAAATTTACCTGGTCACAATATGTTTCTGGTGATCATTATGGTTAGGATGTCCAAGCTGTTTATGAGTTAATAAAATTACTGTGTTACCATATACCCTGAAGTGTACATGGTAACTTCTAGGTTCAGCTGATGTGAAAAACATGTGGAAAAACATGTGGAAAAAAACAGATCTGATGTCACAAATAAATCACATGTATGAAAAATCACATCTGATCAGAATTGAAGGGAGGCTTATTTTTAGTAAAACAAAAAAAAACATCACCTGAAAAGGACATTAGCAGCCCTAATGTCCTAATGTGTGATAGGGAGGTAGCAAAGTAGGTAAGATCCATGAAAAGCTGTCTGGATTCATTCTATATAAGATTTAAAAAACCAAGAGGGAGGGTTAGGAGCTTCTGCAATGAGTGATAGTAGCAGTGGGGAGGATAGAAATTACAGTCAGGATTTCTTGCATATAAAAGAGTAGAATGGTAAGTGACTGATCAAAAACAAAGCTAGGAAAAAGACCAACCCTACCACACACGCATATCCCTTCCATGTAAAAATCCAACCAATGCTAAATGTTCCCTGAAGTACAAATCATTGTACACAATATTTATAATAACACAGTGCTGTTATGAGAAACATACCTACTACATTCATACCTATTCTGCTTTAAGGAGACATTTATCATCCTCATACATGCTGCAGACATATTAATGCAGTTGGAAAGGGGTACATTAAACTGTTTACAGCAAATCAATGTTTTATAGCACTAGCTGTAGCTTCAATATATTCAATCTTATTATCCTGGAATATATCCTTGTTCTCTTTTTGAATTCTGAATTAATGTTGTGGGTTCTGTTTAGCAATGCCTAATGCTTATGCTGCAAGCATTATGCAAATAAATAAGAGTAATGAGGCTGTATTAGGACCTTAGCTCCCTTTCATAGCATAGTAGAAAATGAAACAAGACTCTTGTAGCTGTACACAGCGGGGTCTCTAGTTTTATCAAATGAGGTGGTTTGGTCCTACAGTGTATAGTCCTCTTGTATCCTGGCAGAAACACCTATGCATGAAAAACAAGCGTCTGCAGTAATGCAGGGAATTAGTTTGCATAGGGTAAGTTTTAGCCCCATCAGCAACAGCAGCGGGATGTCCAGGCTACTCCAAAGGCAGTGTTACTTGCCAGTGGGATGTCTGAATTTTACGCATACATGAGCATTGACAGATCACATATGTGCAGACAGGCCTAGCCATGCACATACAGAGGTAATGTCTAGCAGTGAATGATTTGTCAACATGATAATCCTGCCACCTGCTTTTCTGGCTACTTGTTGATCTCCCTGGGATTTTACTTCAGTGGTCCAGAATCTGGACTGCTGAAATGGCTGCTATAGGAAAAAATATCGTGAGATTGCCAAAGAAATTCCTTCCAAAGCCTTGCTTTCGGATGCTGAATCTGCTCTCTAGACTGATCCTGTTACAGGCTCAGGATGGGTGAAATTCAACCCTCCGTGCACAAAACTGTCAAAGCTCACGTATCTCAAGCAGGTTGTCAAAGGCGGCTTCATAAAACACAGGTTCTTGTTACAGTGTGGGGTAGAGCTTACTTGATACTTGTCACTGAAGAGGCAATCTTCAGCAGCCCAGAAACGCAGCTATTCTCATCTTTATACTTAACTATCCTGGCTAAAAATGATGAATTTATGAGACATAATTTGGTTTTAAGGCAGAGGGAAAGCTTCTCTACTTTTATGAGACATACAGCATCTGCTCAACACAACAATAGAGGGCTGATGAGGTTCTTCTACAATAATTTATTCAGCAAAAAAACCCAAATCAACCCCAATTTTACAGAACTCTCTTTTACGGATCTTTGAAAAAGAAGTTACAGTGCATTTGTTTCCTCTCTTGTTCAAAAGGAACATTTCAGTATGAACAGAAATGCCAGCTGGTACTGGCACCATTATAATTTCTCATTAATACCAGCACATTTTAAAAATAAACTACAACTATTGCCTCATTAGCATCCCTTGTGAAGCAAGTTTTATTTTTAGAGCCTAAGAAGCAAGAGTAAAACTGTGCAGTGTCTAGTATTGCAATGGGAATCAAGTCTCAAAGGAAGAATTAGAGCTTCTTAGTTCCCTATTTACTTATTTATTTTAGCTCCCACTCTGCTACTTGCACAGCACCTATCTCTGAACAGACGAGTTAGATATCCATATACCTAAAGGAAAGAAATACTAATTTCTTCTTGGTAATATAAAACTGTATATTGTATAATATGTAAAGATTCTACATGTTAACATCTTTTACATGCTTTTTTTCCTTGTCAGTTTAAGGTTGAAGAAGCACCACCTGAATTGTGAATATCTGTATCTACAAAGGGCATATAGCAAGAGCTCTAGCAGTCGGCGTAACACTTTCCACATTGGCAAATCAATGCCCCATTTATTTCAACCTGAAAGAACAGGAGTATCAGCACAGTTCCTACGCAAATGAATCCCTGAGTCTGCTAACAAAAAGGCTGGTTACTGCTGCTCTCTAGCTCTGTCTTTGTGATGAACACTTGATGGGTATATCAAAGGAGGAAAACATGCAAATATTATGTGCTGCCTTCAAACACTGAGAAAGAGGCTGTAGGTATCTTTTCAGTGATCAGCAACTTCAAAACTCCTTAGAAGGTCTTGTGGGTCAGCATTCATGTGAGTAAAATAGCCAGGGTGTATTTTTACAAGCACTGCTTTTTAGCAGATAAGAATCTAAACTGTAAGGGAAAGGGAGTATTTTTTACAGTGAACAGAGCTAATGATGTCCATGCTTTTTAATGCTCATGCTTTTACTTCTATAAAAAGAGGGACAACTATTTTTACATATTTTTGAACACAGATGATATTAAACACTGGAGCCTGTTAAATATATTTTATCATTTTTTTTGTATGATGTTAGACATTGCTGTAAAGGTTGAAGACAGAGTTGTTATTAAATATGAATTATAATATAAAATTACCTGAACAATAGTTTATGGACTGCTACCTGATATTTATGCGGGTTGAGTTTTAAAACACATGGAAATTGGCAAAACCTGCACCTGAAAATTAAGCTGTAATCTTTCTGATAGCTTCATTATTAACAGTAACATAAACTTTTGCTTTCAAAAGGTAACTGACAGATTTTGTAATGAGACTGAGGCAGAAGAAAGTCCAGAGGGACATTGTCCCTGTGTCCTGCTGACATCTGGAAAACCTGCCAGGAGGGAGAGACAGCTGCTCATGCCTCATTGGTACGGAGCCAATTCCAGGTGCCTGCCAAGTGTTTTGGTATCTGTGGGTTGAAAGAACTATATTAGGGTAAGTTATTTTTACTATTACAAGAAACTTTCATGAGTCTAAGGGCTTTTATTCTGTTTCCGACAGTAGTTTTCTTGCATATTGATGCCAATCCATTAAATATTCCGTTTTTTCTTTTTGAATACCATAGTTCTGCAACATGCACTAATTTATACAGTGGTCCCTAACAGGTGTCCCAGTAGACTTCACTCACAGCTGTTCTACAAACCAAATGCATGGAATATAAATCTTCCTTTCCTCACATGAGCATTAGCAAGGCAGGCTCTTAGCACAATCTGTTCATCAGTACACAAGTTTCCTTGGAATGTTCAATATCTTAGCTAATGTTTATTAATTAAGCAATAAGACACGACAGACTGTGCAGCAGCCCTAATTAATGGACACCTCTGGTGCACGCCACACATCTAAGAAGTGCATTAATCAGCGTCAACACAGGTCGGAAGTGACTTACCGCAATAATAACATGGTTATTTACTTAAACAAGAACATTCCTCAAAGCTAGTAACAGTTTTAAACCTCTACATTATACTGTATACAGTAATAAAGAATTTACAAGAGGTATTTTCAAATCCAGTTCCCTAAAGTTCAGCTTCCAAATCCCTGCTCAGGAATATAAAGAGAGGACACCAGATCTGCAGAGGTGCTGAGTCTCTGTGGCTTGCATTGACCCAATGGGTACTTGTGAACAGTTGTAGTCTATCAAAATCAGACTGGGTTTATTTAGATGTCAAGTATTAATTTAATACTTCACATCAGCTTGGGCTCCGTGTTACCTGTGCTGGCTCCTCGTGATTCAATTGCTGTGGCTGAGAGATAAGTCACAGAATCATAGAATCAACAAGAGACCCTTGGCAGAGTTAGCTCAGCCCTACTCTTCATCTGACTGAAGATGTGTTCACATGATATACAGGCACAGCGTGAGGCAATGGTGAACTTGCCTTTCCTGGCATTGCTTCCCTTTGGGTAGGGGTGGGCATATCAGTGGCTTCTATGCTATGCATGTAAGAAATGAATGTTTAACTGTCAGCCACACAGAACATCACTTAGCTATGGTCTAAAAAAGTGAACTGATTTCCTAAAGTTGTTTAATTAGAAAAGCAATTTGTAAAATGGAATGTGAAAAGCCAGATCTGGCTCTGTGGAGTTTATACTTGGAAAACAAGTACTTTACAAAACCCCACCCAATTTAATAAGCACTTTATTGCTAGCTAGAGAAGAGTTTCACTATGATCAAAACACAGTAAGTGTAGTAATGTTAATGTTGCCATTTTGCTGTAGCAGAACCTCTGACTGTACTTCTGTACTTACTGTTGTTTGCACAATGTGTCTTTTATGAATCTGTTTAGTGCCTGCCCCTCTCTGTTATTTTCCCTGCCCATATGTACAGTATCAATGACCTTTGGGAAAGTCCTATTATGTCCGCAAAATAAGTTCATGTGAACTCAGGGTAATTCATTCTACTAAAGGAAATGTC